GGGCGGGCGGGCCAAGGGAGAAGGCGCAGGCCTCAGGCCCTCGGGGCTTTGAGACCTAGGCAGGGACTTTAGGAGGTGTCCTGGCCGGAGCCTCCCGTAGCTAAGGGACTGTCAAAATCCGGGCGGCTGGCAGGGCACGGGAAGGAGGGCCCGAGGGCTGGAGGAACCCGTGGGAGCCCGAGGGAGGCTTGGGCGAGGCTGGGACCCAGGGAAGGACCTGGGATCAGGCGCCAGGCCGCGCTCCCTGGGGCGGCCCCGAAGGGAGCGTGCCCTGGAAGACCCGTGCCTGGCGCATATTGCGTTCCTAGGAAGTTCAGAGTCAGAGTATCAAAAACGATCAGTTTACACTCTGCAAAATGTTCAGTCCTTGTGATTCCCAAAATGCCGCCACGGAGCGCGGGAGTGGACAGGCGATTCCTTCCGCTGCCCACACGAGTGCGCAGCGTGGCTCCGGGTGCGAGGGGCCCACGCTGCGGGCGGACGCCAGGCGCCGGGGACAGAGGAGGGCGAGGCCTGGGCTTCCGACGGCGAGCACGGGGGACCCCACCCCGCGCGCGGAGACCCAGGGCCACGGGACCGAGCCGTGCGCGCCCCCTGCCGCCGCCGCCGCCGCTGCCGGGCTCTCGGGGCGGGGCGCGGGCCGGGGTGGTGCCTCCTCCGCCCCGCCCCGTCCCCGGGATGCGGCGCCCACTGCCGCGCGGCCACAGCTCCCGGCGTGCGGCTCCCCCGCGGCGCCGGCCTCGGGTAAGTGGCCTCGGGCCCCACACGGCGGCCAGCCGGACATGGACGCCCGCTGGACGGGGCAGGCACCCTGGGGTCAGACGGGGCTCTCACCTAACGCGGGACCTTCGAGGAAGCCAGTCCACTTTCACTGCCCGGGGTCCTCGGTTTCCCCGTCCCGCGGTGTAGACTCCCGCGCTCTGCCCAGGTGCAGATGGGGCCTCCGTGCCCTCTGCTCTTGGCTCAGCAAAGCGCCCTTGTGGGGTCACACCTGGGGGGAGTCCACAGTTCCAGGACTTTGCCCGGTCAGTGGCACCAAAACCACCTCCCCCCAAAGTCTTGAGTGGCGAAGCTCTCGGGTCGTGGACACTTTGGCGGGACTCAGTGGTGCGGACCAGGACCGGGGCCCCGTTTCCAACCCTGTTGGGGAGGGGGCTCTGGCTGTGACTCCAAGCCCAGTTCGGCCCCTGCGTCCCTCCTGAAAGTCCTGTGTCTGGGTTGGTTCCAGGGTCTGGTCCGGCGGCCTGTCCAGCTGTGGCCACTCTGAGCGCCATCATGGGGCAGGCTCTGGCCTCAAAGTTCCGGCTTGTGGTCTGGTTGATGACCCTCAGCAGGAGACTCCAGATGGAGACACTGGTCCACCTCCGCCCGTGCCCACCCTGAGGGGCTTGTGCCTGGCCTGCAGAGGCTTCTGAGTCTGACCCGGGGAGAGTGGGGACCGTGAACGGCTTGGCAGGGACCCTGTGATGTGCTGGCTCTCCAGTCCACGGCAGGTGGGCAGCCGGGTGGCCGTGCCTCTCGTTCAACTGGACAGCATTCCTGTGGCCTGGCCATTGCCACGGTCTCGCTGCTGTGGACACTGAGGTCAGCAGCTTGTCTCCACCTCAGGCACTGGTGTCATTTCCATCCGGTGCCATGCAGGAACTCCGCGTGGTGCAGGGTCGCTGGAAATGCGGGTGTAGAGAGAAGATGGGGTGGGGCAACCCCCACCGCTGGCAGTGGGGGGATCTGCTGCCTGGGCAGTGGTTCTTATTTGTTTTCCACTTATCTGGATCTTCTAAAATGAACAAGCATTGCTTTTGCCTCTTTTAAAAATTCAGGTTTCCTAGGGCCGGGGATTTAGCTCAGTGACATTGAGCCTGCCTCTCAGAAGCGCAAGGTTGTGAGTTCAATCCCTGGTACCACAAAAAAATAAATTCAGGTTTCCTGGAGCCATGCAGTCAGTTTACCGTTGGTTGAGGAGAATGCAGGAAGGCCCTGAGCTGCTCAGGGCTTACACCGGGGGGATTAGGGGGTTGGCACCCAGGGCCCCAGCCCAGCCTCTGCCTGCAGGAGGGACCTTGGCTCAGGCCACTGAGAGCCCAGGGTAGGGTCCCTCATTTTGAAAGTGTCCCCATGGCCTTTGAGGCAGGGAAGCGCCTGAGGCTGGGCATTCCATGTCCTGTGTTGGAGGGGCGTCTGTTGGCGTCTGGCTCATGTGGCCAAGTAGACCCCTGATGCAGGTTGACCCTCATGCTCAAGACCCATGGCTGTGGGGGCCCAGCGGGTCGTTCTTCACCCCCTCAGCAGAAGAGCTCAGGTCCATCAGCTCTGGTGCTTTGTGTAGAAAAGGGGGTCAAAAGCGTTCCCCCACACTGAGCAGCAGATTGGAGACATGGCTTTGGCGAGTCACCCAGGGCGCAGTGATCACCAGTGAGTGGCCGTGTGCAGGTTTCGGAGGGTGTCACAGGAGGGTTTGGAGTGTGGGCGAGTCGAACAGGACAGCCCCTCCATCTCTTGTCCGTGCCCCAAGACTGCATCTGTGCTGAGCCTGGGCTGGTGTCCTTGGGCTGTGTGGGTTGGCCTTGTCCGGGTGCCCTTTGGCCTGGAGGGAGCTGCTGTGTGTGCTGTGTGGGCCCCTGTCCGTGCTGGGAGCGTCCCTGGCCTGTTAACCAGCCAGGCCAGGCCTGGGCACGGCTCGGGTGCTTCCTGTCTGAGCCAGAAGGCCTCGTGGGCCCCATGGGGTGGCCTTGCGTGCTGGCTTCCAGCAGCCACGTGCCCAACATGGTTTCTCAGAGACGTGCACTGCCCAGGCATGGGCCAGGACCTGGGGTAAGGCCCCCAGGAACAGCACCCACATCCACACCCCTCCCCCATGGTGACCCCACCCACCCACTGTCCATCCAGGCCCCCGTCTCCCTCTTCTGGGGGCCTTCTCTTAGGCTTAAAGGCTCTCTGGACAAGGCTTCCAGCCCTTTCCCAGTCCCTTCTCCGAAGGACACCCACCAGGCAGCAATTTACCTCTTGCCTCTCCCAACCAGCCAACACTGCAGAAATTGTATTTACATTTGTCTGTGAATATGTATGTTATATGTCTTTTCACTGAGGTACAATCCACATAAAATTAATCATTTAAAAGTGAGCAGACAGTGGCTGGGGATTTAGCTCAGTGGTTCCACTGCCTGCCTTGCAAGCGTAAGGACCCGAGTTCGATCCCCGGTACCAAAAAAAAAAGTGGGCAGACATTGGGAGAGGTGTGCAGTCAGCACCTCTCTCTAGTTCCAAAACACCCTCATTGGCAGTCAGCAGCACTGCCCTTCACATCTTCCACTCCTTGGCACCAACTGACCTTTCTGTCACTATGAATTCTGGATAGTAGGGCCTGTATGTGACCTTTTGTGTCTGGCTTCTGTCATGGGGTGTAAAGTCTCCAGGGTTGTCCTGTGTTGTAGCATGTGTCAGTGCCCCTTTCCTTTTTATGGCTGAGTAATATTCCTTTGTGCAATAGACCACATTTTGTTTATTCATTATGGACTCCTGGGTAGTTTTATATTTTTGACTGTTGTGAATGACGGTGAACATTTGTGTGGAAGACTGAATTTGTGCTGTCCGTGTTTTTGGATTTGTACCTAGGAGAAGTCCTGGGTTATGTGGTAATCTGAGTTTAACATTGGAGGAGTCACTAAACTGTTTTCCACAGTAGCTGTACTATTTTACCTCTCCCGGAAAATCTCAGAGTTCCAATTTTTTCACATCCAAACCTACATTTGTTATGTTGCTTTTTTAAACGATAGCTATCCTGGTGTTAAGTGGCCGGGGTTGGTGTGTCTGTGGCTCTGACTTGCATTTCCTCGTGACTTTGGATGCCTATCTTGTCATGGCCTCCCCCTTCATCATGAGCTTTGGGAAAATATCTGCCCAAGTCCTCTGCCCATGTTTTAGCTGGTTGTTTGTCTCTCTGTTACTGAGTCGTAGTTCTCTGCATATTCTGGATATTAGACCCTTATCAGATATGTGAATTGCAAATGTTTTCTCCTGTTGTGTGGGTTTTCTTTCACTTTCTTATGGTGTCCTTTGGAGAAAACTCTTTAATTTTGATGCAGTCCCTTTATCCATGTTTTTCTTTTTCTTTTCTTTTTTTTTTTTTTTGGTACCGGGGATCGAACTCAGGTCCTTGCGCTTGTGCCACAGGCGGCAAAACCACTGAGCTAAATCCCCGGCCCTGTCCACCATGTTTTTCTTTTGTTACTTGTGCTTTTGGTGTCAGATGTAAGATCCATGTCAAATCTAAGGCCCTGAAGATCTACCCTAATGTTTCTGAGAGTGCTATAGCCTTAGCTCTTAAGGTCAGGTCTTTTGTCAGTGCGGAGTTATTTTTGTTTGTTTTTGTTTTTCGAAACAGGGTCTCACTATGCAGTCCAGGCTGGCCTTGAACTCACGGAGACCCTTCTGCCTCAGCCTCCTGAGCGCCGGGATTACAGGTGTGTGCCACCACTCCTGGCTGAGTTATTTTTTCATTTGGAGGGAGGTACAGGTCTAGCTTCCTTCTCTGCGGACATGCAGTTGTCTCAGTGCTGTTTGTTGAAAGACTGTTGAATGGCTGTGGAGCGCTGGTTGAAAATCAACTGACCATCATCTGACTATTCTTATGCCATGTTTTCTCTCTTTTTAATGATTCGTAAAAAACACTTTTTATTTTTAAAAAATACTTTGTATGAAGGAAAACTTCAAATCTTACGTAAGTGGAGAGAACTGTATAGTGAGTCCAATTATTCATCATCCAGTGCAGATTGTTAATGTCGATACTGGTGGACCCACTGCATTTGTGCCCCGCACTGCTGTCCTCAGCCGCCTGGACACCGCTGCCCTTCCCAGATCACAGAGGAGCAAATCTGTAGCATGTCTTTTTCATGTTTGTTTTTGTTGGTACAGGAGATTGAACCTGGGCTTTACACCGAGTTGCATCCCCATCCCTATTGATGTTTCATTTTGAGACAGGGTCTTGCTAAGTCCCTAAGTTGATCATGCTGGGCTTGAATTTGCTATTTTCCTTCCTCAGCCTCCCAGAGTACTAGGATTACAGGTGTGTGCACCACATGCAGCTATGTTTTAGTATTTCTAAAACTCATAGACTTTAATCAGCTTTTCATATTTTAACAGTATTAAATTTGAACTAGGAAGCTGTAATATTAGGAAAAATTAACTCTTAAGGGGACCCTGGGCTGAGAGTGCCTCGTGGGAACAAGAAGAGGCCCTGTTCCTCTGCAGAGTGCCTCGGTGCCCTCTGCTAGCAAGCATGGTGCCAGTGCACTCTAAGAACCGCTCACAGGGCCCTTCCCCTTTGCCAGAGCAGCAGGAAAAGGTGTCCGGGAGCCTGGCAGGGACTCCTGTGAGGCTGGAAACACTGCCGAGCAGGAGGGGCAGGCCTGCCACCTTGTTAGGCCTTGGTGGTCACACATGTCAGAAACCCCAGGTAAAGAAGTTGAATAATAAAGAAAATATTGCATATCTACCCATGTGATGCCCGTACCCTGTGCACTACCCGTTCTCTGGACCCAGGTCTGCACCTGGCAGTCTTCGTCCCTGTGGTGTGAGTCAGCTGGTGACGGACTCCTTCAGCTTCTGTAGGCCTGAAACTTTTCATTGTGCCTGCATTTTTGGAAGCTGTTTTCCCAGGGTGTGGAATTCTATGTGTCAGTCCTTTTCTTTCAGGACTTTGCAGATGTTACTTGCTGCCTCTTTAGAAGTTTGCTGCCATGCTTGTT